TGTGTGTGTGTGTGTGTGTGTGTGTGTGTGTGTGTGTGTGTGTGTGTTGGCGTGGGGAAGTGCCCACACTTTAAGTAGAGAGACCCTACCTCCAGTCTCCACCCACTGTGAGGCCACCATTATTCTGTCCTTCAAGCTCTGGGAGGGTACAGGAGGAGTTCTGGGACAAGTTTTCTATGCCCAGTGAAACTGTAGGAACAGACCCTGAAGGTCCAGTCTTAACACTGCAACTATAGCAGTGACTAGCTACCTGGCCATGAGCTTGGGAATCTGGGGGAAATTTTGGTGGGAAAGAGCCAGGACTAATGAAAGCGGGTGTATCTGAGAGTAGACGTTTGTAGGCACTCGCTTCCATCAATCGTGATTCTAGAGATGGCGTGTCTCAAGGCAGTGATTTCTAAACTTCTTTGATTGTGTATCCACTGTGGTAAAAATCCTGTGCCTCCCCCTTTGTATTTATTTTTAAATTATATACATGTACTATTGATTCAATGTAGTAGATACATTTAAAACGTGCACAAAATAGAAATAAAATGTATATTTTAAAAAAGAAAAACAATATTTTGAAAATATTTTTATTTTATTTATTAACAGTAAAAAAGTACTAATTTCTCTCAGTAAAGAAAGATTATTATTCTTTATTTTATTGAAAATGCAATGTAATACAGTATGTTTTATTATTTTGAAAATCTTGGTTTAACACATCATTTGGGACAACAAAATCACATAGTGATAAAACATTTCTAAACATCCATTCTCAAATTTCTTCATTGCGTGAGTTTCTTTTAAAAAGGCAGTCAGTGCCTCACTTAGCTTTAAAATATCACTTTTAGCTTAAAAGGACCCATTAAGTATGTTCATTTCTTTCAGAAGATCAGCTATGCACCTGTATCCATCAGGGCTCAGTCAGAAAAAGAGAAACCACTGCAGGCTTTTCAAACAGAAAGGAACTGAGTGCAGGGCATTCAATTCAGTAGACGCTTCACGGCACTATTAGAAGAGCTGCAGGAGTTAAGGAAAGCTGCCACTAACGTTCAGCAGTTCAGAGTATTGGGAGGTTGCTGCTATCACCTAGGTCAGAAAAATACAGGTCCCCCCACTGCTGATCAGAGCTGGTCCCCAAGTGCTCACGTAGGGGCTGATAGATTACTTGGGAGCTACGGCAGAACTTTAAGTCTCCCATGGCCTGCCCGTTTTGCTAGGTGCTGCCAGAAGAAAAAATATCACTTTTTCCTCCCACCTACAAAATACCTCATGAATACATCTAGCAGAAAGAAATCACATCCAGAACCTTGAAGGCAAGGAGTTTGGGAATGTTTCCATAAATCTAGCCCCTGTAATACATAAGGATATGGGAATGAATGCTGGCTGCCAAAAACCAGACTGCAGACCACACAGCAGCATACTCCTCATACCCTCTTGTCATCACAGAGGAGGACAGCAAATGAGAAACACTTGCCTCTTTTGCAAAAGAAAAATAGGTAATTTTTAAGTTTGACAACTCTTGTAAATACTTTTCAGCAAGATAATCATTCCATCTGTGTAGTTTACAGATTTTTATGTCGTTTACTTCCCATTACATAGTAGTTTCTGCCATTTAAATGTCTTACTCTTAAGCAAATTAACCTTACTGATAACATCCTGTAGCATATAGACTGCAGTACATTATAATACTCAGAAGTAGAGGTGACTATTACCCAGCAAGCTGGACTTGCTAGATACAAGCAGAGAGCAATTTATTCCTCCTTCCACTGCTGCTTGTGGATTTCTTCCTCTCCGGCATGAAATCGTGGGTGGCTCACACAGCTTTCCTAGGAAATAACAGGACAGTTGGCTTTTTTTTTTTTCCTTTGGTTTTAAAAAAGTCCAGTCTGTTTAACATTAAAACTCCAAGCGTCATTGCTTAAGACCTCTCCCCATTGTCAGCTGAGGCTGCCACAGGGTGAAAAATGGGCAGTTAGGGCAGTAGGACACGTCCCACCTACTCTTCTGCTCTTCAAAGGCAACCTCTTCCTGGAACAAGCTAGACTTGTATAAACAGAAAGCAACTTTGTTTTCTCATGAGCGCCCCTACACACTTGCTGTAATGATTTGTTCTTATGGTTGGATGAAGTTTACAGCTTTACTCTTTTAGGTGACAAACAGGTTAAAGAGTTATCATGATCATTTTAAGAATAGTCTCTTTTTTCTAGGTATGAACAAGTCTCATCCAGGATCAGATCAAAACTTCAAATGTCAGTTAATTTAACATTTCTCTCCTCCTCCAGTCTGGAAATGTGAAGGAGAACGGGGGTCAGGATCAGTGTCATTTCTGTTTCTCACTACCTCCTGCCCCCTTGCTGGCTGCTCTTCCAGGCCTGTGGGCCGGTTACAGCAAGGGAAAGAAGAAAGAGGTAAGGTCTTACTTTGTTGGTAGAGATAAGCTGGTGTCCGTGTCCTCCGGGAGCAGCAGATTCCAGTGTTGCTTCTTTTTTTATAGGTTCTCAATAGTTTCTCCTTCTCTGGGGATCTCTCAGCTGTAGTTCCCTTGTAGGCCATGCCTTCTCTAGTTACTTAGAATTCCTGCCCCGGCCCCTTAGTTTCCAGGAGCCTCCCCTCCACTGAGGTCATTCCATCCGTCCAGGTGTTCCCTTTGGCTGGGTTCCTTCTTAAAATGACCAAATCTGGCTCCCTTTCTTGAGAACCACATCAGGCTCACAGGAACTCGGAAACTTTGGGAGTGTAAACCATTCCCATTGCAGCCTTCTCTCCTTTTCTGTCTTCTCCAGGAGCTAGCCACCTACTTCTCATTTGTCTTTAGACTTTTAGGAGTGAGTCAGACACCAGTTTCTGTGTCCCTCATACTCCACAGGATGTGTCACGCTCCCCCAATGGTCCTCTAGAAGCCTCCTCATTTGGCATGAGGTGAAGAGGAAGCACCTCCACCCTCTCCTGCTTGGGGAGCGGAATGGAAACGTCCAGCATACTGACAGCTGCTTCCAAAGGAATCTTCTCACATTCTCTCACAGAGCCTGAAGGTGGGTGCCGAGCTCTTCCTTCCCAGCACTGAGCCAGTGCTTCCCAGTATCTAGTTCACAATCTCTTAGCATGTGGTGCACAGGTGATCTAGCTCCTTTTCCCTTTAGAATGTGGATGGACTTGGCACCTACTGTTTTGTTCTCAGCCTTTGGGGTTTCTGGTGAAACTGACACAGAAAGATTCCCACTTTAGTAAATGAAGTTACCACTGTCAAACCCTCCTTTATGGAACTCCTGCTCTTTCAGCAGGACACCTGATGCACTGCAGGCAGCATGGGACAGTCTGACTTGTGAACTGGACTGTGTGAATGTACAGTTAATATAGAACTTTTTGATATTTACGTATTAATTATTAAGTATAATCTTATATTAATTATATTAAATTTTAATATTATGTGTTTATATAGAGATATAACTATTTTTATAGAACCTATATATAAGACTTTTGTTTTTTACATTATGGAAGATTAGATGTGCAGAGAAATCTCTCTCCATATAAAACACAAAGTCCTGGGTGAAATTTTAACAAACATAAAAATACATTTTTTTAAGTTTGACTGAGCTGACAGTAAAGGAAGCCAGAACAACCGAGGTCAGAAAAAAGGAGGTAAGTGAGCAATAAAAGCAACATTTGCCCTGAAGATATCTGCTCACTCCTGGTGGCCTACAGTCTAGATTTTAATTTGCCTCAGGCAGTCCAAAGGAAAGAAAGCCTCAGAGCAGCATGGTAGGAGGTCAGATCATAAACTCTTGCAAAATGATGGAGCCCCCAACAATTGACCTTATTGCTGGGAATGAAAAAAATATCCCTGACCTCACCAAGAGGAGACTTATCTGTCTCAACCTCAGCTCAGGGTTGGGTGGCAGGGTAGGGAACCTTCTACAAGAATTCTTAACCACCAGCAGTAACCACTCCAATACATTTGTGGCTAAAAGTCCTCCTGTCTGTGTGTCCTTGAAATCCTTAAGCTGAGCATTTAGTTTGAAGTGGTCCTGGGTTGGTAATGTTCCTAGAAGCCTGGAAGAAGCAAACTCAAATACTCTTTTAGAGGAACACACTTTAAAACAAGGCCTCAAAGAATGCCCAAAGCCAAAGTGCAGGGATATATAATAAAAAATCACCACACACATGCAGAAATAAGCCAGTATAAGCAAGTTAGTGGAAAACAATAAACTGTAGGATTGGACCTACAGTTTGGTTCAAGGTCTGACTCTGGTGCCTGGGACCTTGTGGGTCTGATGCTCCCAACCCACTAAGCATATGCTAGGGCCCTGACCTTGGCCTCTCCCCTTCGTATATATCACTAGCTGAGAAAGCTGCTAAACCCAAGAAAAAACAGGCTCACACCTGAAAATAATGAGATACTTGAGGAGTATAATCACAACAAAGAGACAATTAATGGAACATACCCTAATAGACAAATCAGAATGGAACAACACAGATCAAGAACTTAAAATAAGCATAATAAAGATCCTCACAAAGAGGCTAATAATAAGGAACAAGCAGTTACACAGAACCAAAGGGAAATATATATGAAACATGTAATAGCTGAACAAACCCAACAGACTGGATAAAAACAATGGCTAGCTAGCTGAAAAGTGAATAATAATCTAGATCAGCTCAAGGAATTTTCCTAGAAGGTACTAGAAAGAGATGGAAAATATGAAAGAACATTTAAGAGATAATAATAATGTCAATATCTGTACAATATGAATCACAGTAAGAGAGAAAATGGATTTAGGGAAGAGATATTTAAAGAAATCATAAGTAAGAACTTTAAAAAAATGAAAGATAAAAAGGACTCCATTTCAAAGATCTCATGGAGTACCAAATGGAATAAATATGGAAAAACCAAAACTTCGACACATTACAGTGAAATTTAAGAACATTAAAGACAAAAATAAAACTCTAAAAGCTTCTGGAGAGAAGAAGCAGATAGTTCACAAAAGAATAAGAATTAGATTGACATTAGTCTTCCTAAAAGACACTGGAGACAAAGAAAACAATGAAGTTATATATTCTAAGTGATGAAGGAAAATAACTTAGAATATTATACCCAGCTAAACTGTTACTTAAATGTAAGGATGGAAAGATGATACATTCAGACATACAAGGCCTTAGAAAGTTTACAGCACAAAGGGTCTCTTTGAAACCTCTCCTGCTAAGTGAAATAAGTCAGACAGAGAAAGACATATACTGTATAATATCACTTATATGTGGAATCTAAAAAATACGATTAACTACCATATGACCCAGCAATCCCACTACTGGGCATATACCCTGAGAAAACCATAATTCAAAAAGAGTCATGTACCAAAATGTTCATTGCAGCTCTATTTACAATAACCTGGAGATGGAAACAACCTAAGTGTCCATCATTGGATGAATGGATAAAGAAGATGTGGCACATATATACAGTGGAATATTACTCAGCCATAAAAAGAAATGAAATTGAACTATTTGTAATGAGTTGGATAGACCTAGAGTCTGTCATACAGAGTGAAGTAAGTCAGAAAGAGAAAGACAAATACCATATGCTAACACATATATATGGAATTTAAGAAAAAAAAATGTCATGAAGAACCTAGGGGTAAGACAGGAATAAAGACACAGACCTACTAGAGAATGGACTTGAGGATATGGGGAGGGGGAAGGGTAAGCTGTGACAAAGCGAGAGAGAGGCATGGACATATATACACTACCAAACGTAAGGTAGATAGCTAGTGGGAAGCAGCCGCATAGCACAGGGAGATCAGCTCGGTGCTTTGTGACCACCTGGAGGGGTGGGATAGGGAGGGTGGGAGGGAGGGAGACGCAAGAGGGAAGAGATATGGGAACATATGTATATGTATAACTGATTTATTTTGTTATAAAGCAGAAACTAACACACCATTGTAAAGCAATTATACTCCAATAAAGATGTAAAATAAATAAATAAAATACAACAAACTAGTGAATATAATAGAAAAGAAGATCACAGATATAGAGAACAAACTAGTGGTTAAAAATGGGGAGGGGAAATGGGGGAGAGGTAACATTAGGGGTAGGGGATTAAGAGGTACAAACTATTAGGTATAAAATAAGCTACAAGGATATATTGTACAACATGGGGAATATAGTCAATATTTTATAATAGTAATAAATGGGGTATAACCTTTAAAAATTATGAATCACTATATTGTACACTGTAACTTATATAATATTCTACATCAACTACACTTCAGTAAGAAAAATAATAAAAAATATAAACTATAAAAAAAGAAAGAAAACTCTCCTGGAAAAAGTACTTTTATATATTTAATATAGTAATATAAGTAAATTATACTTAATACACTACATACTTAATAAGCATATGAAAAGATGCCCAAAACCATTAGTCATTACGGAAATGCAAATCTAAAGGATGAGATATCACTTTATACCAACCAGGATAGCTATAACCAAAAAAAAAAAAAAAGGAAGATAACAAGTGCTGGTGAAGATGTAGAGAAATTTAACCTCTTATACATTGTTGGTGGAAATGTAAAATGATCCAGCTACTGTGGGAAACAGCTTGGTGGTTCCTCAAAAAATTAAACATAGAGTGACCATATGACCCAGGAATTCCACTCCTAGGTATACACCCAAAAGAACTGAAGACATATATCCTACAAAAACTTTTACACAAATGTTCATAGCAGCATTATTCATAATAATCAAAAAGTGGAAACAGCCCAAGTGTCCATACTAATGAATGGATAAATAAAAATATAATATATTCGTACAATGGAATATTATTCAGGATATAGATAGCTGGGATATTAAATTTAATATTAGGGCAAAAACACATCATAAAGAAAAATGAGCGACATTATATATTGGTGAAAAGAACAATAGATCAGAAAGATATAACTAAAAATAGAACTACCATACGACCCAGCAATCCCACTACTGGGCATATACCCTGAGAAAACCATAATTCAAAAAGAGTCATGTACCACAATGTTCATTACAGCTCTATTTACAACAGCCAGGACGGGGAAGCAACCTAAGTGTCCACTGACAGATGAATGGATAAAGAAGATGTGGCACATATATACAATGGAATATTACTCAGCCATAAAAAGAAACGAAATTGATTTATTTGTAGTGAGGTGGATGGACCTAGAGTCTGTCATACAGAGTGAAGTTAAGTCAGAAAGAGAAAAACAAATACCGTATGCTAACACATATATATGGAATCTTAAAAAAAAAAAAAAAAGTGGTTCTGAAGAACCTAGGGGCAGGACAGGAATAAAGATGCAGATGTAGAGAATGCACTTGAGGACACGGGGAGGGGGAAGGGTAAGCTGGGACGAAGTGAGAGACTGGCATGGACATATATTCACTACCAAATGTAAAATAGATAGCTAGTGGGAAGCAGCCGCATAGCACAGGGAGATCAGCTCGGTGCTTTGTGACCACCTAGAGGGGTGGGATAGGGAGGGTGGGAGGGAGACGCAAGAGGGAGGGAATATGAGGATATATGTGTATGTATAGCTGATTCACTTTGTTATAAAGCAGAAACTAACACACCATTGTAAAGCAATTATACTGCAATAAAGATGTTAAAAAATATATATATAACCAAAACTAACATAACATTGTAAATCAACTATATTTCAATTTAAAAAAAAGAAAAGATATAACCATAATGAACTCAATAAAACTCATGGTTCCTTGAAAAGCTAATAAGAACAAACCTCTGCCAAGACTGAATAAGAAAAAGGGAGACGATGCACATAAACAAAACAGAGAATGAGAACAGGAAAACAAATACAGATACAACAGAGTTTATAAGAATAAAAAATATTATGAATACATTTCTAAGAAATTTTCTGCAAGTGGGTTGATTGTACATAGGTGTTATAGGAAAAGCACTTGACATAATTCAAATCATACTTATGATCAAGATTTCCAGAAAATTAGGAATAGAATTTACTTAACTTCATAAAAACTATAAACCAGAAATATAGAATAAACGCTATACTTAATGGAGAAAATTTAGATATTTTCCCGTTAAAATAAGAAACAAAGATGGGAACTCCCTGGCAGTCCAGTGGTTAGGACTCAATGCTTTCACTGCCGTGGGCCCAGGTTCAATCCCTGGTCGGGGAACTAAGATCTCACAAGCCGTGCAGTGTGGCC